AATCCGAATGAAGTTAACGCCAGAGGAGGAACTCCACTGCACGTAGCCTCCTGGCACGGGCAAATAAACGCAATCAACGCTCTTCTGGATGCCGGTTCCGATATAACGGCCAGGAACAACCATTCGCAAACGCCACTTGATACCGCGACCTCTCGCGATCATGCTAAAGTTGTCAGTTTGCTACTGTCACGCGGCGCTAATCCAAATGATCGGAATGATTCAGGAGACACGCCGCTTCACGCGGCTGCGTGGTATGGTCAAGAAAACGCGGCAAAGGCACTTATAGATGGGGGCGCTGATATAAACGCCAAAAATTTGCAAGGAAAAACTGCTTTACAGGTAGCTACTGCACGCGGAAATCATAATGTGGGGAGTCTGTTGTTTGATAGGGGGCAAAAAGATCTTGCTAGTGCTATAGATGTCAGAAGTAACATGGTTAGAAATTAATGCAAGGCTAAGACTAAACTGATTTTTTGGACTAGAGCAAAAGCCAGTGCAACCAGTGAAGAAAAAGTTTGAGAATACGCACTGTAACACTGTTCAATAAAATACTTATGTGATCAGATCCGGTTTTTTCATCGAAAAACGCATTTTCACTACTTGCCAGTTTTTAGGAGTACAGAACATCTCCTGACTACCATGCTTCGGAGGATATGTAAAGCAGGGGGTCTCAGCAGTTATACCAGGACTGTCGTTAGGTCACACGGAAGGTTATTGATGCGATCTGAAATCGTCTGTACCGAGGGAGTACCACCCACACGATACATACATTTCCTAACTGAAAGATCTGAGCGACTGAGGACCAATTGCACCGTCAAAATTAAGTATCCCTTAAAGTTAAGCATAACTTAAATACCATAGCAATTTTTGTCTTAATAATCGTCACCATAGATTTTAAGTTCGACTTTAAGCAAGGCTTAATTCTGTTGGTGCAACTGGGGCTGAGCGATCTGAACGATCCGAACGATAGGAACGATCCAAAGGAGCCATTGTAACAGTGGGAGGGCTGCTACCTCCATTTTAACTCCATTTTTTTTACTTCCTATTAAAGTGAGTGTCTCTAAATATAGCTGTTTCTTTATTTTTTTTGTAGTTCAGTTAATTGGATTTTGCGTGGACTTACCTGTCAGTTTTTCAGATGAGAAATTAATCTTTTATATGTGGATTCTTTGACCACGCAAATATGGCTACAGTCAATTTCTTGTTTCGTTTCACAGAGACACTTGCTCTGGGTGATGATAAAGAAATCAAGATTTGTAATTTTAGTCTAAGTAATTTTAATTTTCCTAAAGGAATCGACCCACGAAAATTACTGGCATGAAACAGTTTCTTGTTGCGTTTATTGTTTATTTGCATTTAATTCTAGTGATACCACTCCTTTGGTTGGATTAAAATTTTGTTTAGTATTCAGAGGTGTACAGGAGAATGAATTTTAGATAATAATCAAATTTGGCATGGCCACCTGATCACGAGATTTTGTATCTCTATTTCTAAACTAAAACAATACTTCACAACCAGGAACGAGTAAAAAATGGAAACTGTCGCTTTTGTTTGTATTAATATATTTCAATCAACTAAAGTCATATGCGTCTTTATTCGAGTTCAATCAAACCCGAGCATTAGACTTTGAATATTAGGTTTTAAGAAGAGCTAAAGGGCAAAACTTCTGTAAGGTAAGGGGTATAATAGTATTTTACATTATTAGCCAGGTAAGTGAGTTTTTACTGGCGATAGGAGAAGTTGACTGGCGAGCCGTTAGGCGAGCCCGTCATCTCCTAGAGCCAGTAAAAACTATTACCTGGCGTATAATGTACAATATTTTATTTGTTACTCATTTGTAAACAATAGTAAACGTAAATAATTAGTTCTTAAATTGATCTTGAAGAAATGTCTAAAATATCATGTGATCCATGTAACAGAGACTTCGCATTAATTCTGGCCAATGAAATTACTAGATTACTAACTTGTAAAATTTTTACAGGTCTGCTGTCAGTTTTACAGTCTGCTGTCAGTTTTACAAGTCTGTCAGTTTTACAAGTCAGTAGCGTTTAAACATGACGTTTACCCGTTTGCGTTTTGTCTTGTTAATCAACGTTTACAACTGAGTAACAAATAAAATCATTTTTTATTACTCAACTAACCGTAACCTTTGAATATAAAATTAGGTATATTCAAAGCCGTAACTAAATTAACAATTGTCGTATTAAGGTTTTTTGCCATCTGTAGAGGTTTAATTTTATATTATGCATGTGAGTCTTCGGACCTTGTAAATGTAACGAAACCGTTACAGAATTACGGCATGTAGTTTAATAGGTCTATTCTTCTAGTTTTATGGGTCACAGGAATGCCACCATTAGAGTGTCGTACCAATATATAAAAACACTGCGATGAATTACAAGTGTCGGACTAATTTGAGTGTCTTTAAATGCAAAAAAAGATTAACATGAAGTTCTTAAAATACGGGGTTGTAGCATGGACTCATTTTAAAAAGAAACTGATACACACAAGAATAAAACAAACTAATGTCACTTCAAAACGCAAACACTTAACTGTTCTGAAACTCGAATTCTACTATTTAATTTTTACCGACGTACCTACACTCCCTTAATTTGCCAATCTTTTTTTTTAAATAAAATTTACTAACCAGAAACTGACTTTACTTGCAAATACAACTGTAATTAATATAAGAAACACGACCAACACTTGACGTAGTTCCGAAAGCTCTAATATGCCATGGGTAAAAACCCGACTTCCCACAAACGGCCAAAAGCGAAAGGCCAAAGGCGAAAATCTATATCGAAAAACTTTCTCTTCCATTTAACAACTCCTCCCTGTGTTTCTCATGTCCGTTCAGACTTCATTATTATTTTGTTAAAATACGCACAATTCTTATCTAAAACGCAACACCTGCGACCATCTGTTCACAAATTAATTAAGTTTTTAGCTACAACTGAACTCTTCGCAACGACCGGTATGCAATAAAATAATCATTTTACATAGCCATACATAGAGTAACCGTATTGTTTTACGGTCCTCTTAAATGTCGACAATTGCAAAGTTAATTTTATTGTACCTTCACTTCAGAATTTTGAACCACACTGTAGGTATCCAAAGATTTCTACACAACGTTGACATTCTGCTAGGGTCAGGTCGGAATTCTCGATGATTCTCTATTTAAAGTTTTAAATTGAGCTCACAAACTTCGTCAACTGTTGGTGTAGCGTCTGCAAATGGCATACTACAACGTTATTTTATTATCACGTCGTTACTGCTCGATTAAACACATTCACAGTTGAAACAAGTTTATTCGACATCAATGAATCAAATAAGCCAAAAGAAATAAGGGACTTAGGGCCAGAAGACAAATACCACACAACAAGCGATCGATAAAAACAGTTGGTTAAAGAGATCTTAATTCCAAAATCTCCCAGCGTAACTGCGATTTACAATAAATGGCGCACAAACAAACGCACACTGAAGATACTTCGGAACTTACTTTGAGTAAGGCGACACTGGGTTCGTTGTAATTAGAGCGGAAAGGCTACCTTTAACTTGGTATTGGATAAGCGCACGGTAGACACAACAGTTGAACTAAACTGCTTCACAAACGTAATACATGCTTCCGCATAACTGAATTTTAAACATTCACTTTCAACGACAGTATAACAGTAGGATTAAGCTACCGCTGCTTTGACTCTAACCCCCCGCATAAACGGCCAGCTAGCTCAGGGTAGAGATCTTCCAGAGCGGTTGATTCTTTTTGAGCATGTCATCTTCGGCACTTCTTTACAACTTACCATTAGTTGAGCGTCACCCAGTTTATTAAACTAGGAAAATGCAAGGAAAATAACAATCCAAATTAACGAAAGAAATACTATTTTTTTTTTCAATAAAGTAAAATTGTCCCCGAAAATAATTATTGTTTCCCGACAAATGCAAGAATAATGCGAGATATCCAAAATTATTGATTAAAATTGATTTAAAACAAAACCGCGACCAAATGCAGATTCCAGATGTTGATACCTGTCCTATAAAATGGCTGCTATCCGCAATCTCAAAGTGGCTGCTTTAAATGTGGTTGCCCTTGACAAGTAGATCTTAGTGTTTGCTTGGATTTAAAACTCGAACTCGATGGAATTATAGGCCGTACGTTAAAAACCCTTTGCAAAAGTTACATTAAAAAACCATCTAATCGCAACTTCCCACAAACCTTTAATCCACGGGAGGGTTAATCCGAACATACGACAATTACAACAAAAACTTCACAGATACGCCGGTTCAACCGCCAACTGGCAGAGTCCTAAAAGAATGCACCAAGATATCGCCTATAATCGAAAAGTATACCTATATTATTTTCATAGCATACATCACATATTAAAAATGTAAGGGGAGACTTCGCTGGAATTCTGCCCCACATGTCATTTTGTAATAACTAATTCAATCCTATAAAATACTTATTGCTAAATAAGCTATGGCAGATTGTATAATTAAAGGAGAATAAAAAAAAATAAAAATAAAAAAAAAATGGCTTTTAACTAAACAGGTTGCAATTCATCTCATGGAAAAATTTTAAGCGGCTTAATATCGGCGTGCCGAAGAATAATTGTCGGAAAGGAAGTGACAAATTTACGCGTCTTGGAAACCTGCGCGCGCTTCGGTATGTGGTGCTGTCAATAAAACGTTGGAGATGTTACGGGGGTTCTCCGACAAGTAATAATACCATGAAACAATAATAATGAGCTCTACATAATTTCACCCTTAGGCAGTACCTTGATGACAGAACTTAGCAGTATATTCAGCGAAAAGCTTTACATTTAATCCCACCGGGAGGCTGTTCATGTTTTTGGTTCCTAACCGGTGACGCCTAGGGAGTACTGTTTAACTTCTGCACGTGAAACATTTTAAATTTGTAGTTTTGCGATACGGTAGATGTATGTAGGTGACCTCCAAATTTCGTCATTTATCAGAATATTCTCGTTTATCTTAGGTTGTAACCTTTATATTTATATAAGGATGTTTTAAAAATTTCAGTAACAATTGCAAAATGTTGGCGATATTGCGAATAAGTGCAGTTGTGCTCTTGTGCCTTGGAAGCACAACTCCTGCCGCAGGTAAATATGCTGAAATTTGGGTTTTATAATGCACTTTCTTACATTTATCTTCGTAAGTTTGCAATTTAGTCGGGTTTCCGATAGTCCGGCCGTATCTTTTATAATATAATTTCAGCATTGTCGCACAGTTGTTTGGTGTTGTTGAATTAAGACCCCACTTTGATTTAGGTGCAGTTTGGAGGCACTATGGTGCAAGCAGCAATGGCCCACTGCATAAAAACGACCTAGAAATGGTGTTGGGGCACGATTTTAACGTAGGCGCTAAAGCCACATTTGATCCGTCTGAGGATAAGGCAGTTGTCAATCAGATCGGTGTAATGAAGTTTATAACATCGCATGTGGTTGGCTTAAATGCCACCAACGTAAGCGGAGAGGGGCGGTTTTCTGTCGGTGGCAACATGCCAATAAGGAAAGACGTGACAACATTGCTTGGTAACGGAACCACTGTAGTTCACTATGATTTCAAGGGGGGAGACACAGCAGTCCAAGGTGTAGATAATGTAGTTGAAGGAGGGTTTTCTAGCAATTTCATTACGAAAGACAGCAGCTTGACAACGCCAACTGACAGTACTTTAGGTCGTGGTGATAAAACCGTAAATCTGGTTATATCTCCTGGTGCAAATATTCGCCACGGCGGGGTCAGCAGCACGGGCGAGCCGGCACTCCACAAATTTGCCACATATAGCCAAGAAGATGCATTTTTCAGTGGAAAAGTCAACGCGAAACACAACAATTTGGAAACATCGTTTCTTAGTGGAACGACTTTTGCTAGACCTGGTGCCGCAAATAGTCCCGATAGTATGCACAATTCTCCGTATGGCCAAGAGAAAGCGGTTCGAATACAGATCGGTGGTAACGCCAACCGTAAAAGTAGTGATGTGGGCGCTACGCCTGATAACGAAAAAGCAGTCAAGCTTGTTATTTCCGGAGTAGGGAACGCTCCCAAGAGTACCAGTGGACACACGGTAGATCATAGAGATGGACACGGAATACAAGTACCGCTCAGTGGCAATGTGCACGCTACGAATTTGGCAACGTCGCTTCCTACCGGTTCTCAGAAATCGGTGAACCTGGTATTATCCGGTGGGACAATTATTTCCAGTAGCGCTAGTAGCAAGGGTGACGCAACTGTTCCCAATTTATCTCCGTACCACCAAGAGAAAGCAATTCGGATTAACATCGGTGGGAATGTCATTGCAAAGGGTAACTCCGCAATGTTGTTTGAATCACAGCAAAATGATCCTGCTAGTGCTATAGATGTTAGAAGTAACAGCACGTAGAGCAAAACCCAACGCATTTACAGTAGTGAAGAAACAGTTTGAAAATACGCACTGTAACACTGTTCAATAAAATACTTACGTGATCAGGTCTTTTTTTGTCGTAAGTCAGTTGAGTAAACAATGCGAGGAGCTTTTATTAAATCTGTAATTTGAAAACGTACAATACGGACAAGGATCTGAAAAATCTAGATGTTCTGAAGGATCTTTGTTGGCTATTAAGATGAATGTTCCTGAATACAGCCTTTTCTGAATTTTTGTGGCTCAGTTAATTGGATTTACCTGTCAGTTTTGCAGATGAGAAATTAATCTTTGACCTCGCAAATATGACTACAGTCAATTTCTTGTTTCATTGAGAATAACCACTCGATCTGCGTGATGATTAATAAATCAAGATTTGTAACTTTGGTCGAAGTAATTTTAATATTCCTAGAGGAATCGACCCATGAAAATGACTTGAATGAAACAGAGTTTTATTGCGTTTATTAATTAGCATCAAATCCAATCCGATTTTGGTTATTTTGTTTCAGCGATTTTAAATTTGCATTTAATTTCAGTTCAGTTCAGTAATTCCTTTGGTTAAACGAAAATTTTGTTTAGCATTTAGAGGTGAGAGAGGGTGAGGGTGTGTGTGTGTGTGTGTGTGTGTATTTTGGACAGGAGAATGTACCAGTAATTCATTATGTGGTAAAGGTGAATTCTAGATAATGATCAAATTGGGAATGGACACGTGATAACGAGATAGGCATTGCATTTTTTTATATATGTGTTTCTAAACCGAAGCAATCCTTTACATCCAGTCGTATTTATTCGAGTTCAATCAAACCAAAACATTGGATTTTGTATATTAGGTTTTAAGAAAAGCTAAAGACCAAACTTCCGAAAGGTAAAGAGTATAAAAAACAGTTTTATTACTGAACTAGCAGTGGGTAAATAAAAAAACTGTCATACTACGGTTTTTGCCAGTGCCGTAGAGGTTCAGTTTTGTCACCATAGGTGTGCGCTATTTTTGCGCAAGTAAAACACGCTCTCGATAATAAGAGTGTCGTACCAATGTATAAAATCGCTCTGCGATAAATTACAAGTGTTAGACTTAACTTCGCTGGTTCGACACGCATTCACATAATAAAATTCACCCTGCGATAAATTCCCGGTGCTGACTTGCATTCGCTTGCGGCTCAACGCACAAAATAAAAAACCACCCCGCGGCGATTTACAGGTGACAAACTTAATTTTGCTGACGACACCTTCGGGTTAATTTTCGGATGGTTCGACGCGAATCTCATGTAAAATATAAAAACGCTTAACGGATGTAATCTCGACTTAATCGAAGGTTGTTACTGCAACCCATTCGCCTAATTACGGCAATTCTACAAGTCCGGCAATCCAGAAATTCTCGTTTGTTCTTTGGGATTAGAGGTCAAGCGGCGCGATCTGCTATCACGTTGATATTTTCCTTAAACTGTACGACCTTGCCGGTTTCAATCCTGGAGTTTCGTATACCATTAGAAAACTAAAATCGTTTAATCGATAATTAACGGACTAAAACTTAATAAGATTGTAAACGAATAAAGGAATCAAAACTCAAAAAAAATTTTTTTTCTATAGGCTATCGATTTCGTCTTAAAACGTCATCATCAGGCTGAGATGGAAGAGACGGGCACCTTTGAGGGTACCGAAGTAAAACGGATCGAGCGGTCCGTAAAATAGTTACGAATGACGCGAGTAACGTCAGCAGGGACTGACGACGAGAGCATTCATAATAGAATGTTGAATGTTTCGGTAATGTCGCCTTTTTTTACTAGTCTTTGCACACAATCGGTCGAGCTTTGTCCGGGGCCAAAGCCATATTGGTTGGGATAGAAAGGTTCAGATTTGCGTAATCAGGTTATCGGTTTGTACGAGTTGGGATTGGTGAGATCCTACTTATCGGGTTTTAGAATAGTTAAAAATTTACCAATTTTCCAAATGACAGGAAAGTAGCCGAGTCTTATACAGGAATTGAATAGTTCGGCGAGAATGTCAGAAAAGGGTCTCCGGTGCTGTTCTTAGTACCTTACTGTGAATTTCCTCCGGTCCAGGAGTTTTATGTTTGGGGATTCTTGGTGTGGAGGAATGTCTGCCTTAATGACCACTAAGTTCTGTCTGGATGCCAAGTTGAATTATCGGGAACGCATTTCGGCGCGCAGAGGTTCATCCAATGTGGGATCGTCGTCAAAAAAGAGGATATTCTATCGTTTGCTGTTCGGAAACAGTGTTGGGAGCTTGCTTTTGAGAAGACATGCGGTATACTACTCCCCAGGGTTACCCGACATGTCAGACTCCTCCCATGGATCTCTTTTTCCAGCCTGTCCAGTCTTTCACATCACCATCAGTAACGATTCTTCGTTTATGTCATACTTGGCTCGTATGACGGACCAACTCTGTCAGCCTCCATGCAGTTTCATCTAAGGATCGTGACACGTAGTATCAGGTGGAAGGTACACAGGAATTTGGCCCGAGCAATACGCGTTGAGTCGGACCGGGACCAGATCTAAGTATTTGAAATCAAGGATCATAGGGTTTCTATTGGAATATCGACGGTGTAATCGAATCGTATCATACGATGAGCACGTCCGCTAAAACCTTCCAGGCGCACGTTGATGTTAGTTGAATCCATGTGGTTCGAGAAGGTGTGCGGGTTGTTTGGTGGGTTGAAACACATGGGTCACGTCTCGCAACGAGGTTTTCAACTAAGGCACCTCGTGCGTCCGTCGCCGAGGAGTGCCAAAGCGGCGAATTAGAATTAAAATCGCGAGCTGTGAGGACTTTCAACTCATTCAAGACAGTTGAGATGTTTCAAATGAATTCGGACATCCTCATTTGGCGGCTAATAAACGCCCACGATTGCCAATGAGGTGTTCCCAACGGTAATCATAGTTACACCTGAGCAGTTGTTCGTTAAATGACTCAGTGAAACGGCACCCTTCGGTTTAAGGCTATTGTAAACTATAGCAGAGAAAAACCGCAATGAGGAACATCCGGTGATCTTGTTATAAGGAGCGGAAGTACCGACTACTCTATACCATTGATCTATACCCACTTCTCGCACTAACTTTATATGGCTCTTGCACCAGTAAGACGTCGATGTTATTGTCAAAGGTCGCAATTCGAGAATTTTGGAGATTCGCTTCCCCAAAAGAGATCTCAGTGTTTTCTCACTGTTCATAATTAGTGTTCACGATTTTGCATTCAACGCGCTTCAGATAACAAGGGCAGTTCGCGACGGAAGCCTTATGCTTCATAACATAGCCTTTATGTCCTAGCTTCACGCAATTTGCGTAGGAGGGCTCCTGTTGGAACTTAGGACAGGCGTTGCTGTCTTGACTACCTACGCAGTGATCGCATTAAGTTTCACTAGGAACCGAATTTTTTGCACTTAAAGCACCGCACGATCCAGACATGGTTTTGTATGCGGCAGGCATTCCGTCCGACGTATGCACGATGGCTTAAAGAGATTCTTGCGTACGGTACCGTCGCACTCAAGTCTCCAGTTTCGCGCAAACCAACCGGAACATCACTTTCAAGGATTTGTCCGGTAAGGAGAGGACTTCCTCGAAAGCAAAACTGAAGTCGAGATAGAGGTGGGTTCCTTGATCTGCTCCGGAGAGAGATCAGACGAGACATCCAAAATGGAACGGCTTTGTCTTGCGACTTGTAGGTGAGACCGGTCTTCTCAAGAAGGTCTACAGGGAGTTCGCTTTTCTCCGATTCAAGCTTTACGGCGTTCCTACCGATCTTGACTATAGCTTGTCAAATCGTAAGCCGGGGTCTAGGACTTTCACGAGTGCCTTTACAACGTTGGGGGATTTAAGTACCACAATTCACAGTGGACCTACCAAGGAATAGGCGCTGCAGATTCCCCCGAACGAATTATCACACGATCGGGAATGGACGGCTTGGACAACAAAGGAGGACTGCATACACTTTACCGTCTCGGTAAAATGTGCACATTCGCGGACAAGTTTGGATTCAACCACAAAGATAGTTGGATACGTGAGAAGGATCTTAGTATTTCGGATCTTCGAGAAGCTGTATCTTTGGAGGTCGATATGAATTTCTAAAGGTTTTCAAAAAAAATTAGTTACCGGGCGAAACCGGTGTTTTCAGGCAGGTGAAATGAATAGAAATTGGGAAAAAATAATTAAAACAGTTGAATTTTTCTGCGGGTGAAATCCGGAGGGTTGAAAGGGCAAAACTATTAATTTTAGACGAAAATGTTGAATGTAAAAGTTATAGAGATTAAAAAAATGAGCAACCTGTTGTATCTGCACTATTTTTACATAACCTCCAATCGAGCCTTCAATTTTCCTAGAAAAACCGGAAAAACTGTTTTTTTCGATTTTTATTCTTATTTTTGCGAAAAAAATGTCGTAGGGGCTTGAAATTTGGAGGAAACAGCTTGTTTTATGATAAAAATGAAGATATATTTTTGGGCCTGTAAAGTTGAACCGTTTCCAAGATCTCTCCAAGATTTCTGAAAAAAAAACACCTCTTTTTGTAGCAAAACTTTCGTAACGACTTCCATTTTAATAATCAAAAATAAAAAATATTATTCCAATAGAAAAATTTTAAGAAAAGAGGCAAAAACTGGGGGAACAGTTTTAAGATATACAGTTTTTGTAGGCAAATAGCTTTCTTGCAAATAAATTAATGTATTGGATCCGCCTTAATAAAAAGTTTTTGAAATCTGTCTTGTCTCTCCTCTTTAGTGTTGCTAAAATATTTTCTTTTGTTTCCTAGTGTCCAACTGCCTTAATTAAACAACTTTATTATTTCTTTTTTCTGCATTTTACCGCAATTTGAAGTAAAATCGAATTCTTTTGCTCCCTGACCAATTTGTTTTTGCTCACTAACTCTTCTTCCTGCCTGTTTTACAGTTGATGGGATTAAGCTGGACCTGCTGATTGTTAATTTATAGGAATTATGAATAAAATCCTCAAAAAGTTTATTCCATGTTTTAAATCTCAAATCATTTGCTTTGACCGGTAAAACTAACGTTCTTATTGCAGATTTTGCAAGTTTATCAACAGGCCCAACGCAATTGCATCAGCTATAAAACAGGCAGGATGAAGAGTCAGTGAACAAAAAGAAATTGTTCAGGAATTAAGAAGCAAGATAATCCATTTTATTTCGAATTGCTTTTATTGCGGTCAAAATGCAGAAAAAAGAAATAATAAAGACGTTTTAACTAAAGCAGTTGAACATAAGATAACAAAAGACAATATTTAAGCAAACATTAAAGAGTAGCCAGAAGACAGATTTCGAAAAAATCTTTATTAACGGCCAACACGTTGATTTATCATGTCAAAAACCGTGTAGGTATATCTTAAAACTGTTTTTCAAGTTTTTGGCGATTTTCTCGAATTTTTGCTATAGGAATAATATTTTTTTTATTTTTGTTTATTAAAATATCCCGAAAATTTTGCTACCCCGCGCACCTCTGTACGATAAAAAAAAATAGATTTTTCATCCCCTTGAAAAAGAGGTGGTTTTTTTCAGAAATAGTGAGATCTTGGAAACGGTCCAACTTTACGGGCCCAAAAAATTATTTTCTTTTTTATCATAAAACAAGCTATGTTTCCTCCGAACCCCTACGACATTTTTCGCAAAAATAAAAATAAAAAACGAAAAACAGTTTTTCCGGTTTCTCTAGGAAAATTGGAGGTTATGTGAAAATAGTGAAGATACAAAAGTTGCTCATTTTTCTAATCTCTATAGCTTTTACATTGAACATTTTCCTCTAAAATTAATAGTTTAGCCACAATTTGCAAAAGAAATCTTTCCACCCTTTTCAACCCCCGTGATTTCACCCGCGGAAAAATTCAGCTGTTTTAATTATTTTTTCCCAGTTTCTATTCATTTCACCTGCCTGAAAAACCCGGTTTCGCCCGGTAACTAATTTTTCTTGTAAAAAATATTATATAGCCTGGACTACTGTGCATCGGGTTTTAAACAAATTGAGACAGGCGTGCCTCAAGGTTCAGTACTTGGCCCAGTACTTTTCCTAATATATATTAACGACATTGCTCAGGTAACCAAGCATGATGAGTTAATTTTATATGAAGATGATACTACTTTATTATAAATAAATAGATGTAACACCATAACTGACTACACAAGCACCGGAATTAATATTCTTGAAGAGTGGTTTACTGATAATAAGTTGCTCGTAAATCATGATAAATCAGTTAAGTGCATATTTAGTTTAAAACAAATTGATCAAATCAATAATACTGGTTCATTAAAATTCCTGGGTGTATATCTTGACCCGAAATTGAATTGGTCTGAGCACTGCAATCAGGTGTGCACAAAATTGTCGAAAGCATGTTTTGTTTTGAGGAGTTTGAAATCAATGACATCTCATGAAGTTATGCTAAATGCTTACTATGGTTACTTCCACTCAGTAATGAGCTACGCCATAATTGCATGGGCACATTCTTCTGGGGTTAAACGGATGTTTGCTATACAAAGACGTGCGATTAGGATACTCACTAATTTAGGCTACAGAAGTTGTTGTAGGTGTAAGTTTGTTGAACATGGTATTTTAACCCTTCCCAGCTTGTACATTCTACATTGTATATTATTCATAAAAGAAAACATTGCTGATTACCAGTTTTCATATAACATACATGAATACTCCACTAGGTGTAGAGACAATATTAGCTCAAAATCTATTCGACTTACAACATCTCGGAACTGTAGTAACTATTACGGGATAAAATGTTATAATAAGTTACCCTCAAATCTGCGTCTTTTATCTTTCAATAAATTAAAAAATGAGGTAAGTAAATACCTTAAATTACACCCTTTTTATTCTGTCGATGAATTTTTAAGTGCGGAATGGCACCTGTAACTATTACTACTTTTTTTTCTTTTGTAGTACATGTTTTTGTTTTGTTTCTTTAGTGTTCGTTTTATCTACGCTACTTGACGAATCTGATATAGTCGCAGCACTATCATAGAGTATTTACATTATTATTATTATTATTATTTATTATTATTACATGGTATTTTCGAAATTTTGAGAGTTCTGCTATATTCACGGAAGTGAAAAATATTTCCTTCGAGAGGTCATAATTTTGATTTTAGCTCATCTACGTCAGAAATAACACGGTTTAATAACATACATATAATTTATTTGATCAATAAAAAAAAGAATTGGTTATGGCCATTTACAAATTCGACAATCGTTTATAAAAATTAAACAATCCAAGCATTATATTGGTAACTAGCTCGAACGGTTTCCCTTAAGGAGTCGCCGAGTGACACTTGGCGTCGATAGCGCTGAGCAATAGAATGGCAATCTCTGGATAACCTTCGTTGATGGCCAATTGCAAAGCGTTATTTCCCTTTGCGTCCTTAGCCTTAACATCAACGCCCTTGTTGATCAACAATTGGATGAGTGATACGTTCCTTTGTAAAACGGCTAAATGGAGCGCGTTGTGTCCATTTGAGAGAGCACGGTCTGGATTGGCCCCCCTATTAATTAGCAACTCTATCAGCTGTTGATTTTTCGAGTTTAGAGCGACCTCGAGGAGAGAGACTCCTCTGTCGGTAAGAACGTTAACGTCTACGCCTTGGTCGATAAGGTATTTTACTATTTGGACATTTTCTTGGAAGGCGGCGAGATAAATAACAGTTATGCCATCCTTTCTCTTTACCTTCGGGTCTGCTCCATTTTCGACAAGTACTTTGGTCCAATAGTAACTATTATTGGCTACTGCATTGAAGAGCGCCGTTTGCCCCTCCTTGTTCACAGCCGTTAAGGAATCTTTGTTCTTCATAAGTACAATTACGGTTTGTGTATTATTATACTTCATGGCGACATGGATAGCTGCGTCGCCGTCTTTATTTTGTATAGATACGTTCGCCCCGCTTACAACCATTTGTTCTGTTAGGTTGACGTAGCCATATCGGGCGGAAAGGTGAAGTGACGTTTCTCCATTTCCGTTGGGGGTATTGATCAGAGAGGCAGTATTCTCGCAGATCGCACGGGGTGCTGGTACTGCTGAAATAAAATCAAGCATGTTTGTGTAATTGGGGACTACAGAGCGGCTATCTTAAAATTAGCATTCGTGTAGATTTTCCAAATATTTAATCTTGCTGGAAATTGGTTGCTCCAATGGTAATGAGTACAAACAAACTCGTGTGGAACACGTATCGCTTTTGTGTTCCACTTGAGTAGGTATCTATATTAAGTATATCTATGGTAATCTACCTTGTCAAAAGTTGAGTTTAGGTTGTTTATTTTCACAATTATCTCAAACAATTAAGTCAAATTACATGAAGTGGATCCCAAAAATGGGAAATATTCAAATTGTACTATTTGTTGCTATTAATTTGACCCAAAAAAAAGTGAACCGATGGGATCCAATGAAATTACAGAATCAGATGCAAATAAATGGCAAGAAATAAGATTGTGCAAATCTGATAAAATGAGACTGAGACAGCAATAATAAAATGTAGGTACTTACGGGCGGCACCACCTGCTTTGACGAAGATATGCCCGCTTTCAAAAATACACAGGCAACTTACAAAAACTAATAGTCGTAGCATCTTCAAAAATCTTCACGACTATGGACATTATCGTAGGTATTTATACTTTCAGTATAATTTAATCTTTCCTATCTCAAGTGCCCATTTGTTCCGATTTGGGATACGCCGATAACAGCAGAGATTACGAATGGGAAATACTTCGAGTGCTGACCAGTAACGCACAAAAATCGCGTGCATCCGAATTGTTAGGGTTGATTTAGACATCTATTGCTCTTTTAGTCTTACATAAGCAGTTGCCTACGTCATTGCCTTGAAAACAAAGTTACTAAAACTCAATGTATATATTTTATGCTTTAGGCCCACGTAAGGGGTGGATTTTTAACCCTGCACAATACAACTGACCAAAGTTTCCACTCGTCGGCAAAGCATTCTTATACCTACACGTTGTGATTCTTAGGCATCCCCTGCAACGCGGGGTGACTTTAAACGTTGCAAGTGCTTTAATGATCTACAATATAATACGTACTTAATTTAAAAATAATAGATAAAATCATATCGAAGTTACTCAAATACATGATTAAGCGGGCGGGCTATTCTTAACTCCACGATTGCCATGGACATTCCACTTGAAGTTTGTTTATAAAAATCATTGTCTTCATACTACATAAAATGACTTCAGTTGAAAAACGTAACACACCATCCATTCAGTGGTTTGTTGCATAAGCAGAAGAAAAGTCAATACCTACAAAATCCAATAAAGTCTATTACGATGAACTTTGTGGGGAAGTCCGCGCAAATATGAAACGGTATAGTTTAATGAGATAAGATGTAATGAAATAAAAATAAAATTTTATGTGTGGAATATAGTATATATCTTAGTAAATATCGAATGTATACAAAGTTTTTCTACATGAACTTTGTTCAACATTTTATTTCCTATAATAAGGCAGCATTCAGTTGTTTTTATTTCAGAAAACAAATGAGTAACCAAAAATAGTTGAATTTTTTAAAATTGTAGTGCACCTTTTCATTAGGCTCATTTGATAGAGATTTTTTCTCTTTTCGATGATCTAACATGTTAGTACCCTAATATACGAATATTTTTCAAAAAAAATATTATAATCACAATAACATTAATCTAGATATCCAACAACAAAATAAAACAAATAAATGTGTACGTTTCTTACCATTTTATTGCAAATTTCATTTTGTCTTCAAGGTTTAATAAGAAACGTACACGTTCATTTGTTTTATTTTGATGTAGGATATCTGGATTAATGTTATTGATGTGTGTTGGTGTGAGTTTTTTTTGAAAAATTTTCTTGAATTAAGGTACTAACATGTTAAATCATCGAAAAGAGAAAAAAAATCTCTATCAAATGAGCCAAATGAAAAGGTGCACTGCCATTAAAAAATTGAATTGTTTTTCGTTACTCATTTGTTTTTTTAAATAAAAACAACTGATGCTGCGTTATTATGAAAAATAAAATGTTAAACAACTTTCATTTAGAAAAATTTTGTATACATTCGATATTTACCGAGATAATATATACTATATTCCAATGGCCACCCTGTAGATTTATACGGCGAAAGCTGCAGAAACCGGCGGAACGGAACGGTAACCCTTGCTCCTGGTCAAAGGTCGGCGATAGGAGTGGTTACCATGAACAAACTCTCTCAAAGGAAAAGGAAACTCCAGTGCCCATACGGGCAAACAGCGGTCGGACACGGGCGTAGGGTCTAAGCAGCTTTATTACGGCAAAACAATACCTCTCCTTCTAATTACCGGCAGAAAACTAGCAAACACTTACCGCAAACACACCTTAGTATTTAACTACGGTTAATTATACTCACTTAATTTTCCGGATTAAAATTTCCAAATCAGTAGTAATGTCCATTGTTACTTGGAATGTTGGGTCAATCTTAAAATGTCTGCGATAATGAAATAAACTGCAAGACCTTGCAGCTTTAATGGTCGTTTTTAAAATAGCATTGAGAAACTTAAATCTGCCAATAAGTAATTAACGGAACTGAAGCTCTTCCTGGCAAGAAAACTTTCGTACCTTACAAAAACAAAAGCAGGCAAGTAACTTAACTCCTAAAAGAAGTAAATTGCTCCGGAACAACACATTTCGTACCACAACGCCTCTAAATACCGGGTGTTCATTAAAGCTGGTAGAATCCCAAATGTACGGTGTTGTCATTAAAGTTGGTATGAACTCCTAGTGCTTCGTTACACTATTTACAAAGAATAGGAAATGTTGTTGGCAATGTCAAAGGCTGTGATTAAAAATTAGGACAGGTTTAGCCGTGCGTGTGTGAAAGCTTCAAACAAAGAATACAAGACAAAGAAATCTTTTGTATTTACAGTAAGTGACTTAAGAAAATTTTTTATTTCGTCCCCAGATGATAGTTTGTGACGTCTCTTTACATTGAACATTTAAAATTTGCTTTCCATTTAGTACCTGTTATGCCATTTATATATTTCCTCTGTAAATCTGTTTGGTCTAGATATAGTGTGTTTCATTTACCTTAGTTCCTTTTTTTGTCATTAGAGGTCACGCCATGTACCTTTCTGCATTTAATTGTGTCCCTTCTTTTTTAATCCTGCTTGCAAGCTGTACTTGTTTTTGTTCAGAGAAGATTGTGCTGTTGCGATGGTGCCTATATTTATCTCTTCATTGAACATTACTATACTATGCGATCAAAAATGAGTTGCTGTCGAGTCGCCTTTGAAATGTTTGTTTACATGGAAAATCGTATTTAACTTGAACTTCCAAAAGCGACTCGACAGCAACTCATTTTTGATCACCCGTTATTACTACCTACTACGCGGCATCCGTGGAATAAATATCTACATCGAACCTGGATGACATTGCATTTTACATGGGGACCCACCATTTTAAGTTAGATTGATATCGTCAATATTTGCTGTAGTGACCTAAATCGAAACCCGTGTTCGTTTGATTACGTTTCAAATCCTTCAGATAACTTTTTTTGTATAGTCATTTTTTTTTTACTTTAAAAATTAGTTCCTGAAGTTAACGTTACGTTACGATTTGTATACCGTAATATAACGTAAATTGAAATCTTGATTTCCATTAAATATTGATTTCTAGTATTTGAGTCGCTCGACGTGACAAATTTAAATTTTTTTTCGCATTTTTATGCCGCGCTGTTACTACCTTTTCTTGTTTTCTTGCTGTGATTTATCTGATTGCAGATTATTGGCAGAAAGCGCTCTTCTGAATTCAGACGGTCCTGCCACAGTTCAAAGGTAATATTTTAATTTCGTCGTACTCGTGAGATTTACCTTTGTTCATATAAACTTTCGATACAGCCTATACATATTATAAAATGGCTTCTGTCATTCAGTGGATTGTTGCAGAAGCAGATAAAGTTGGTACCTGCCAAATCCAAATGCAAAAGCCTATTATAAAGAACATGAAATGTTGTTGGTGTGGATGAATAGGAAGCATGTTTGAAATAAAGTCTTCAATGCGTCGTTGATGCTTGTATATATGACGGAAACTAAATACACTACCAATGGACAGCCTGGAAATACCTAGGTGTCAGATCTATTACTGTGTTTGTTGGTGTGTGAGTGGAGACGGTAAAAAAAATCTCAACAGGTCGATCCCTTTTCAGTCTTGGACAGTTATTCGTAATTGTACTGATCTTATGTATTTCGTTTGTACTTTATAAAAAGGGAAGTGGTAGTCACATAGCAATAATAAATACACATTTAAGTTTGTTGTATTACGATATAGTTCATCTGCCAAAAATTAGGAAGAGGCATTACAGGGCAAATTTTTCCAAATCGACACGAAGAAAACCTCGACCTGAACACAGGTTCTCATCAATAATAAAGAGTTTGGTCACCATCCGAATGTCATTTGCAGTTTTCGAAAAAAGCTGATTCAACATGTGAAATCGAGAAAATATTATCCGGGATGTAAGTAGAACATGTGGACCATGCGAGATTTGAGAGAGGAACGTTTCGGGTGGCAAACCACTCCTTCGCTATGTCATGAATAAAGAAACCGAATTGGTGCAAAGAAGCATAGAAAATCAACAACTAAATCATCGAAGGAAAAAGGTGTATTGGGCTAGTCCGTAACGTCTATGTTTGAAGTTAATCGTGAAGTCTACCAATACGTCGACAGATTAAAAGAAAATCAGAAACGAGCCTGGTACAGGACAATAGATAAAAATACCCATAACATTCACACTCTCAATTCGTACCAATCGACAAGCCATTCTGTTGGTCTCTCGCTGTACGGACTTGGCCAGTAGTCTATCACCATCGAATGGAAGATTTTCTCGATATTGTTCTTCACCTCAGACTGTCGGAAATTCAAGGTCTGTTTCAGTTGCCAGAAGGGTCTGCACGACAGGATCGATTCTCGCGCGAATGCAACCCCTTGATCTCAGGTATACTGCACGAAGTAGTCATAGACCCGGGCATCTGCCGCCGTTGCCAACTGGTGGCGCTTCTGAATCGCGCTGTCGATGCCCTCGAGCAGCTTGC